TGTTACTTGCCCCAGGTGAGTTTACAGGAGCTGCTTGTAACATTCTTATTTATAATACCTGCAGTAAAGGGTGCCAAACTAGACATTATGTTTTGCAGGGAATAAACATGAAGTGTGTTAGGTGTGTACATGTATAGGGTTTTCGGCCATGACTGTATATGAATGAAGTTTTGGAAAGGACTGTCTGTGCTGCCATAGCAAACCTTTATCAGCTCCATTTCCATTTCATTTCTAACCTTCTTCTCTTGTTACACTACTAGCTTCTGACTGTAGTACAGAGGTCTACATAAAGATCCTTTTAATGTAAATCCAAGCAAGTAGATCATTGTGGGTTCAAGGTTGTGGGTAAATCCTAAAGGTTAATATTTACCCCTCCCTTTACCTGTGTCACCGAACTCCACTGTCTAGCAGAACACTGTCATCCGGAATCTCCTCCGTTGTCCACTATTGTCACTACTGGAGGTCAGCAGGACACCAAGCCTCCAATGCACCTGGAAGTGCACTGGATACTGAAGAGTGTTTGCAAGACAGTGGAGTTTGGTGGCACCAGCAGCACTTGTGGCAAGTATTAAACCCTTAACTTGCAGACATGGCTTATGCTGGCCATACATATATAGGTTGGTGTAGTTTGGCCTCCCTACAAGGGTGGTTGGCTGCGGTGAAGAGGGAGCAGAGGACAAGGGGGAACCCATGTTTCTCTGAGACCTCTGTAGGTATCATCAGGGGAGCAGCTGTCTGATTGGATACTGCTCCCCTGGTTGACTTCTTGAAAATAGCACTGTCCCCCTTTGGGTGGCTTACATTTTTCAAGTGATCCAGTTAGGGACAGATCCCTCGTTGGTTAGGAGCAGGTTGTCTAGCATAGGGAGAGCCTCCCCTTTCCGATGCTGTCTAATATCAACAGTGTGTATGGAAATCTTTTGTAAGGTTCATTGTACGTGCTTCTGCCCATGTATGAAGACTCTGTTACGCTTCCACGATAACCACACGTTAAAGCAGAACTACACTATAACTGAACACCACAAACCAAAAATGCTATTTACTTCATTTTTGTTATTCAAAGCAAACTCAGGCATCCATCCATGTCTCTGTGTTCTATTTTGCAAAACAAATCACATTGAAAAACAGCCCCTAGCATTTCTGCCTGCTGCCGTCTTGAGTAAGTGCAGATGATTCATGTAGCATTTACTTCCTGTAATCCATCTGCTCTTAGCTCAGGCATACATGCAGGAAGGTGTGCTTAGCTTAGCAAACCACTCCCCCCCTCCTGAAGCCTCCTGTGATGTATGGCATCATTTGCCTAGGCATGGAAAGGAAGAAACTAAAAAAATGTAAAAAAAAGTTTTAAAAAAAGTGAAGATGACCATGCTTTCCTATCAATTTCTAATGCTAGTGTAAGGATTAAATATAATCATTGTTTGGATACTCTAAAGTGATTATTTCGTGGAACTAGTAGAATTGTGAGGAATTATTCAATATTTCCTTTTTTTTGTTAAACTTTACCGCAGCACTTATACTGTGATATTGTGTAGCTTTTCATTGTCCTATTTTTGTTTTTGTTTTTTTTTTTTTGTTGTTGTAACTATATTTGTAAAAGCAAATAAAAATGTATTATGGAAAAAAAAATATATATATTCAATGTTTATTGAGAAAGTAACATTCTGCTTTATTATACTTTGCCTCAACAACTGGTCTCCGTATGAGTTCTCTTCCTCTGCGGGCATCGAGCGCTGAGCCCCGCTCACACATGGCTTGAATTTATGGCCAATTATTTTTGGCTGATTCTGCCCAAATTAGAGCTGTGAGTGGAGTTTTTGAAGAAATTAAGGAGCCCAGCAAAAAATTATCGGCTGAGCAGTGACTGCAGTCAACAGTTTGGTTACTCAGACAGCCACAGGTGCCAACAGTAACCTGTCAAAATTCATAATAATCTGGCTAGATCAGTTAAAGTAGAACTCTAGCCAAAAATATAAACATAAAAAATAAATATAAACATAGAAGCTAGTTAAAAGATAAAATGCTAACACTAGCTTTTACAGCAATAGTCCCCTTTAGAGATGCCCCCTGCAGTCTTTTCTTCTGCCTCTAGATATCCTCAGTCTGATGGCCAGCATCATTCAACCCACTTCTTCTGAGCCCAGGTCATCCTGGACCCACCCCAACCTGTGACTGGAGAGTTCAAAGAAAAGCAGCATGGCAAAGAGCTCATTTTCCTGTCATTCTGCTTTCTCTACCTATCAGCATGCTTCTTTTCAGCACATAAACTGATTGGCTCCTTGTTCTGCTTCTTCCTCTCACACTGCTGTATAGGGAGTGTAAGAGACTAATACAGGGTTAAATTCAGGTACTTACAATGCTTACATTTATAAAATACATTTAACCCCTTGGCGCCGGCACCTCCCGGCCCTTTAAGGGTTTCAGAAGCCGGGAGGTGGGGTTTGGGGTCATGTGACCGCCGTGACACAGCGTCACGGCGGTCACATGATCGGGAAAGGTCCCGATTGAAAGAGGAGATCGGGACATTTCTGCGTGTATGGGATATGTGTGTTGGGAGCGTGCAGGACGTGCGCTCTCAGCACATATGTTCTTTTTTAATAGAACGCAAATATGCAGCCGCTCGGCGTCTAGGCCCAGACGCCAGGAGGCCACATGTTTGCCCAGAGTTCAGCTTTAAGAAAAGCCTTCTGATTGGTTGCTTTAGATTATTGCACTTAATAATAAACCAGTTAATCTGATAAATAAGCCGTAACCATTCGCTATATTTAAACAGTAAGAAAACTGATATAAGCTATATGGCAATGTCAACTATTTCTAGGGGCAGACTAGTGGGAGAAGCATACTGAGTTAAGAGTGTCAATATGGAAGGACCTAGCTGAGTGGAAATGTTTGTTCAAGGTGCTGCTGACGTTCATAGGTAAAGGAACTGTGACATGAGGATCCTAGGCAGGTAGAGATTAAGCACACAGTGATCATTTCACACAGGCTTCTGCCTTTCTACACTTAGAGGTCACTCACTATTTCTAAGACATGCTGCAAAAGGAAAGGTGCTGAAATGCATCGGTCAAGCAAGTCTTTACTCTTAGGGAGTGGTTTATTGAAAGGGTGATTTTCACCTAAGCCTTTCTGCATTGCTTACATCCATTCATATTCATGTCAAACACGAATTTGCCCTGAACATGGCTGGATATGTGAAGTAGGCACAGATTAGAAATGACCCTTTAGTAAATCAGATGCTATTTTCAGTAAGCAATTATGCTCCTACAGCAACAACACTTATTTTATGGACGTTTTATGGTTAATTTGGGGCTGCTAGCAATCAGTCTAATATAAGTGTGCAAGAAAAAAATGAAATGTTTTGTAAACCCTGCCAATCTCCAAACGCAGAAAGGTTTCTTCACAGTAAGAGCTGTGAAAATGTGGAATAGACTCCCTCAAGAGTTGGTTCTGGCCAGCTCAGTGGATTGCTTTAACCCCTTGAGACTGACCATTACACAAACATGCGGCCTCTCGGCGACTGGGCCTTGATGGCGAGTGGCCGTATATTTGCGTACCATTTGAAAACATATATATGTTGAAAGCGCGTGCCCTGCGCGCTCCCAGCAATATGTTGGTGTCTAACGGAAAGATCCCGATCTCCCCTTGCGATCAGGACCTTTTCCAATCATGTGACCACCATGACATCGAATCACGGAGGTCACATGACCCTTAAACTCCACCCTGCCTCCCGCCATCTGAAACCCCTTAAAGAGACGGGAGGCACCAGCGTGAACAGGTTAGAAAAAGCCTGGATTCTTTCTTGGATACACAGAATATAACTGGATATAACATTTATAGGTAAAGTTGATCCAGGGAATATCCGATTGCTTCTCGGGGATCAGGAAGGAATTGTTTCCCTGCAGGAGCAAATTGGATCGTGCTTTGCTGGGTTTTTTTTGCCTTCCTCTGGATCAGTTGTGGGTGTAGGATTATAACTTTTTTTTTTTTATGGTTGAACTGGATGGACTTTTGTCTTTTTTCAGCCAGACTAACTATGTAACATGGCTTGAATTTCAACTGCTGTCTGCATAAATTTAAACTGGGGTGGCCCTATCAGCACCCCCTGGCTGAATAAAAGTCAAATTTTCAATTGGTGTTTGTTGAAGGAGCCGGATGGAACTTGTTCCCCAAACAGCGACTGCATTCAATCAGGTGCAGTCGCTGTTCAGGTATTCTGACAGCCATGGCTGCATTAGCCAGTAGGGGACATTCCTTAATCCACTCTGTTTAGCATGGAGAGAAGAACCTATGAAATCTACTGAATAAGAAAAATCTATATGTGTATGGCTATCCTAAGGCTATCAAGGTTGGCTACAATCTGTACTTGTAGGCATTTGCTGTGGTGGTTTTAAATCATGAACAAAGGAAATGCTTATTTGTCTGCAGCACTTTATTACCTAGATAAAGCGACTCTGCTCCAGGTCAGGCCACTACTGCACAACCTCATACACACTCCTACAGTCCAAATGCCAGTCCAGCTCAGAGAGCAGCTTGTGAATAAAAAAGGAAAGCTCCGAATGGCTGCACCCCGGTTATAGAACCACCTTTATTGTAGTGAATCCTTATGACATAGCACTCCAAAGCATAGAAATCACAGTTGGGGACTGAAGGTTTATACGTTTTATGCCTGTCTCCGCTCTTAATTATAAGCATTATAATTAGGAGCTAGGAAGAAATACTGCTACAGGGTGGCAGGGATGCACCACTATTGGCTGCTGATCATGATCATCACCAGGACTCGGTGATCATCCACTGAACTAGTGGCCAGGAATAGTGAAAAAAAGTGGCCTTTGATGCCAACGTACACTCCAGAGTGGCACACACTCATTGTAATAACTAGGGTGAAAACCAGGATGGGTTGAAACACCAGTTTTGTTATAAGGCCCAAGTAGGTGTATCCTAACCAGGGGCGGACTGACCATTTGGAAACTCGGGCAGGGGGCCCCATGAGATGCCCCTGGTACCTTTTTCATAGGCTTTTTTGAGTTTGGGCAAGGACACAGGGGCCCCATGATCCCATATTGCCCGGGGGCCCCATGAGTTGTCAGTCCGCCCCTGATCCTAACAATATTACACCCTTCTACTGAAGCTGCTTAGTGTGGTGACACACGTTAAAAAACATGCCTTTAAACAAAGTTCTATGTTAACCTATGTGGTCATGCACATCAGGCATTTAGATCAGGCATTTTAGAGGAATAAAAAAGAAACACACACCAAACCTGCATGCAAAGAAAAGCTTATGAGCATAATTTATGCATGTAAACTAAGTACACGCATATATACATACATTTATTCCAGTGGCCAGAATAAATGGATATTCTGGCCAGTAGAATGAGTTTACACTCAACCCCATATCCCTGTAAATGCACATAAACGTGCATAATTATGCTAAAAAAAACAAGCAATTTACGATTGATTTTTCCTGCCATCTTTTGGCAGAAATGTCTAGTATAGATAGGAGTATTTTAATACTTTTTACTATAAATGAAGCACTGTTAGAACATCTGTGAGTAACGCCATGTTCCTATGGGTATTCTCCTTGCTTTGCTTCCTGTGGCCCGTGTTATGGAAGAATATGTAGGCTGCCTGTGCTGATATATCCTTCCCCAAAAATGATAGTTACCCGGCTGTCATATTGATGTAAACACTTTAATACTTTTTGGGTAACAAAACAGACATATCAGGAATTTATACTTCTCTGACTTTACTTGCAGCATGCTTATTCTAGGTCATTCATTCAGAATGTATTGAATGTAGTGGCAGTCAGATAGCTAGCAATTTCAAAAGAAGGCTATCAATGGAAGCCTCAATGATTTTCTTATTATAGGTTTCCTTCAACAGAGTAATACATATAATACCATGATATGAAAAGCACTGAGGTTAGTTTATAAAAACGGAACAGATTTATTACTGGATAGTTTATGCAAAATGGAACAAATGTCATTTTAGAACAAATTTAGTACTGTACTCCCACAGCCTCAAATTGGATTTTTTTCCAGTTAATTCAAGATGAATTGTTTGGTGTGGGAAACAACTCAACATTTGTATCTGTTTTCTTTGATCCAGTTTTAATTTTGGTTGTGTTAAACGTGGTGGTTGCTATTTCCCATAATATATGTACACATATAAATGAGACGTCTACAAAACAATATACTGGACAAACCGGAAACATTTATATAAACCAAAAAGCAAGTGAAACTAGACTTGCTTCAAATTAATCCTTCTTTATATAATGATAGATTAATTACGACTCAGTGAGTTTGACTACATTGTATAATGGCCTCTTAGTAGCTAAATTTAAACATTATAGGTATAAAAATAAACAGTGACATTTGCTGTTTTGCTGGAACCTTTGTAAGTGACTACACAATAAATAGGCATTGCTATTTTTACCCATGGCAGGATGTGTGAATGAAATTTAAGTCACTTAGGTGTCATAAACCACAGGAACAAAGCTCAGTGGTTACCTAATCTGCTGATTACAATTCAGATGCAGTGACATAACACTTGCCAAAGAACAGAAATATCAATATAGGAACTTGGTGAGCAGAAGGAAAAGTGCATTTATAAAATACAGTATGTGTTTTTTCCTCCTTTTTTTACTACAGATACATATATACACATACACACTATATATTGCCAAAGGTATTGGGACACCCCCTCCAAATCACTGGATTCAGGAGTTTCAATCACCTCCATGGCCACAGGTGTTTGAAATCAATCACCTAGGCATACAGACTGGTTCTACAAACATTTGTGAAAGAATGGGTCGATCTCAGGAGCTCAGTGAATTCAAGTGTGGTAGCCTGATAGCTTGCCACCTGTGCAATAAGTTCATCCGTGAAATTTCCTTGATACTAAATATTCCACGGTCAAGTGGAAGGCCACGTAAAATGACAGACCATGCTGAGCACTAACAATGGGATGCCATTAAAGTTCAAGTGCTTTTAAAGGCAGGCGTCCCAATACTTTTGGCAATATAGTGTGTGTATATATATATATATACAGTTGCAAGAAAAAAATAGAGTATGTGAACCCCTTGGGATTACATGGAGTTTTGCATGAATTGGGATATAAAATGTGCTCTTTGCAACGTCATCTAAGTCACAACAATAGAAGAACACAATCTGCTGAACATAATACTACACAAACATAGATGTTGCCATGGTTTAATTGCACATAACATGTAAATAAATTCACAGTACAGGGAGGAAAATGTATGTGAGGCCCTAGCTTAATGACTTCTCCCAGAGCTAATTGGAGCCAGGAGTGAGCCAACCTTGACTCCAATCAGTGTGATGGTATTGGATGCGTTGCTTCCTGACAGCTGTCCTGCCCTTAAAAAACACACACACTGTTTTGGTTTACACATGGTTTCAAGAAGCACTGTCTGATGTGAACCATGCCTCGCAGAAAAGAGCTCTCAGAAGACCTACAATCAAGAATTGTTGACTTGCATGAAGCTGGAAAGGGTTACAAAAGTATTCCAAAGCCTTGATTAATCATGTGTCCACGGTTGACAGACTGTCTGGACAAATGGAGAAACTTTAGCACTGTTGCTACTCTCCATCAATAGGCGTGGTTGTCCTGTAAAAATGACTTTGAGCACAGCACAGAATGCTGCATGCAAAGAAGAATCCCAGAGTGTCAGCTAAAGACCTACAGAAATCTTTTCCGCACACAGCTAACATTTTTGTTGATCACATCTACACAGGTGTTCAATGGGAACAAGATCTGGGTACATTGGAGGCCACCACGAACTCTCCAGCGCTTCTGTCCATCCAAAAGAATATTGCAGTGCTTTTTGACGTATGTTTGGGGTCATTGAGCCCTGGAAGACCTACAGCACTACTGGACAAAAGCTATACTGTGGACAGAATGAAACCCTCAAGATTGATGTTGTTGGGAAGTCAACACACAACACTATCAGTGGAGAAAAAAAAGGCAGCAAAACAACATCAAAACCTCATCCTCCACTGTAAAAACATGGCGTAGGGAGCACATGGTTTTGTTGCTTTGCTAGCCTCATGGACGTTTTGTCATTGTGGGAAACATGAATTCCAGAGTTGATCAAGACATTTTTCAGAAAAAGCTCTATCTTGGTCCATCTGTCCACAACTGTTTTCCCAGAGGATGGCTGATGCAACTCAATGTACATTTTGCAAAAGTAATTCTTGCTTTTTTATGGCTGCAACAGCAGCAGTGGGCCTTCTGGAGTGGCCCAGGCAGAGTCCTGACCTCAACCCGATTTCATTTCATTTAAATGCTGTGGCGACCTTAAGGATAGTTCACACTGACATGATGCTCCCTGAATATGCAGGACACTTGAAACAGTTTTGGAACATGTTTTGGGGGTCTGCGTTGCAAAATTACTCCACGATCCAGTTAGCTACAGTGCGTGCAAACTTCTTGATCTGCAACTTCCTCATCTTTCATCAATTTTCCTCCTCCGTCCACGACAGGAAATTAGCTACAGTTTGGTTGAGATAATGTTACTTGCTGCCTAGTTCTCTGGAGATTTGTAACCTTGAGGTTGTCAACAAGTTTTGGTCTCAAAGGTTCAGATACAGTTTCCTCCCTCCACTTGAATGTTTCCATGCTTATGTGCACAGAAACATGGCAACAATGCAAAGGTTTGTGTAATTATGTCAGCAGACTGTTTTATCTGCTTTGTTGTGACTTCTGATACGTTGCCCAGCACCTTTTACTGCCCCAGGTGAGCAAAACAGGTAATCACAAGGGGTAACATTCTTTTTTTCCGCTGTATTGTGAATAGGGTAGCCAATAGATTTGATAGCCCAGATAGATAGGAGATTTGTGTGACATTTGCATTCGACTATAGCACATCTTTCCCTACCCTCAAAAAGTTTACAATCTAAGAACTCTATCTCACATAGGTATATAAACACATATAGGGCCAAAACATTTAGTTACAGTAGCCAGTTTACCTACCAGCTTGTCTCATTGAGTGTGGGTGGAAATATCAAGAATCCCGAGTAAATCCACACAAGGACTGTATATGCAAACTCTGTTCAGATAGTGTCCTGACAGGGATTTCAAGCAGGGACCCAAAGCTGCAATACAGAAGTGCTAACTACTCAGCCACTGTGAAGGCAGGTGCAGTTAGCTACTTTGACGCTAGGTGGCTGTGTACCAGGATAGTGTCTTGTTACAGAAAGCAAAGTCATCAGGCCCCTTTTAGTTAGAATCCTTCTGCATTGATGTCCTGGTCAATGCCCAAATATAGGCCAGGTTGGGAGGAGCCCTTGAGCACTTGGGACATGAAAACTAAACACCCCACACCTATGTGGATGTAACCAGCTTGTGTAGGCCCTGTCCCTTATGAAGGCAAGGGCTAGGGAGGATTGCAACAGGCCTTTCAGGCCAGACCTTGATGATCCCTGTGTAAGGATGCATCCCTGGTGGGTCCCTGGCAGAGAGGTACCTAATAGCAAGGTGACTACCGAGAGCACAGTCCTGTGAGTACTAATGACTGGGGGGGAGGGTGGAGAGACTATAAGGGAGATGGCTGTTGAGGTGCTGCATATGCTTTCATATTGTGGCTGCTGCGGACTGTCCACTAAATATGATTGATTAATGTCATGTGACCCAGGAATGTATATTCTAGTAATGTGACTGTTATGCTGTTTCCTAAATTCCACCAGTAAAGTGCAGCAAAGGTCTACTACGACCGGGAATATCATATGGAGGCCTCTGTCATGGAGTAGGGTACAAGATGGCGGAGGGTTAGTCTGAGCAGGAGAAATAGTGTTCTAGAAAGACAGGAGCGAGGGTGGGGAATTGTTCTCTTGGTGCCAAACACAGCAAACCACAAAGCCCCCCTGACAACAGTGATGTCCTGTTATTTGAAAAGTCCTGAAAAAGTGTGCCCACAGCCATAAATCAGATTCAGGTATCAGTAGAATGAAAAAAAAAAAATGAACATTTAAAGCTAATTGGAACTAAGAGTAGCACAGACAGTTACATTTGAAATACATTATTCATTTTTGACCGTTTTGTATCCTTTCTAT